CAATCTATGGACTCCAAAGCCCAGATGTCCTCATCCCTGGGTTTTAGTTCTGAGAGTGGACTCTATTCCAGTCCCAAAGACAAGAGGTTGTTCCGCCCCCTTCGATCCTCATTCCATTTGCTCTTGCTCAGTTCATTCTTAGGAACGAGTTGGTATGACACTAGGTTAGTCGGGTTTCCATCACTATAATGAAATAACTGAGACAGTCAACTTTTCAAGAGAAAGACTTCTTTTGGATCATGGTTTTAGAGGTTCTAGGGCAAGATCAAGGGCACCCATTGAGTGGCTCCCATGGCTTTGGACCTGCTGAGAGTCAGCATGTCCCAACAGGAATATAGGGCCAAGCAAACTTGCTAACATCACTGCCAGAGAGCAAAAAGGAAGAGGAAGGGGACAGAGTTCCACCATCTCCTTTGAGGATATTCCCCCAGTAACCTGAGGACTTCCCACAAAGCCCCACCTCTCCAAGGTTGCACCACCTCCCACTAGTGCCACCCTAGGGACCAAAGCTTTCCACATAGGCCATTGGGAGCTACTAAAGATCCAAACTACAGCAATCACCATTTAAACTTATTCAATCTTCTTTGAGCAAGGAGTATAGAACATGGTGGGAGGCACTTTAAAGACAGGGTGTCCCACAGGGGGCCAGGCATTTGCACCTGTCCCCAAATCTCCCTCCTGGAAGGTGGCTGTGATCTTGGCATACATATTCACAAGGCCACCTCCAAGAGTACCAACAGTGAGTTCCTGGAGGGCTCAATGACCTATGAGGTATGACTCGGGCTGAGTCCTGCAAGTAGACCCTCACCAGGCAGACCAAACCCTACCAGACTGCACGAGGGAGGTGACCCTGTCTCTCCGGCACTAACAGGGTGTGAGCCGGGTCCAGCACCTTGAGAGCCGACTCATAGTTGGGCAAAGTGAAAAATGAATCGTTTTTTATATTATGATTTCCTCATCTTATTATGATCACTCTTCCTCTCCACCTCCACCCGCCATGGAAAATCAACACAAGGGCTGCATTTGGGGGATTCTCTGTTATCAATATCCTTATTCTTAAAAAAGAAAGAAAAAAAGAAATGAGGGGAAAAAAGCCCTCCACTTTGCTGTCTGCTAACCCAAAATGCACGAGGAGCCAGGCGATGTCCCTTCCCACCCCATGTGTCTGCCCAGTGCCATATATTTTACATGCCTGCACAATGCGTTTTATGAGGCATATAAAAGCCAGACGGGAATTATCTCCTTCTCCTGTACGGGCTGTCTCTTTTTGGGGGAGAGATAACAGAGACCTATTTCATTTTGCTGCTTGCTACTGGATGCTCTGCCATAAATTGAGAAAAGAAGCTCTTTTTGAAAAATGCTTTCTTTGACCCTATTGTCACTGGGAAACCTCAATGAGAGAAATACCATTCTCTATAGGATCTCGGTTCAGAGCAGAGCCAGGAGGTGTGGGGGGAGCTGTTGTTTTTTTCTCTTCTGTTCTCTCCTTCCTCTCTCTCCACTGGAGAGAACAGAAGATGTCCACTGAGGAGTGGTCTCTCCCTTAGAGGAGGGGCTGTCAGTGGACATAAAGAACCCAGGGAGCAAGTCCTGGCTATGCTGAACCCCAACATCCTCCCATCACCCCGTTTCAGAGAGACAGGGCTGCAGCCCCCTGTGGGAATACATTCACTCCGCCCATGCTACATCCAGGCACGCTCAACGCACTATCAAATATGCACCAGCAATATTTCATTATCGGGTCCTTTGCAGCCCAGTGCACGCCTGGGTGAGCCTAGAAATTAAACTGTACTTTCACCTCTAAAGAATGCCGTCCCTGCCGGTGCTGAAGGGGAGAGATTGCCAGGCCACCAGGCTGTGGAGTGATGAGAGAGCAGGGCAGGGGCCTAGCAGGCAGAAGCCTTCTGCTGGCCTTGGTGGAGAGGTCTGGGAGTCGTCCATCTCCCCAGAGCTGAACAGGCTCCTGGGCAGAGGACACGGGACACCCTGAGGGAAAGAATGGGAAAGGTCCTCCTGCAGAGCCCCTGCAGGAGCTTGGAATCTCTTCCCATAAGGTGCGTCTCTGCCCTCTCCAGCATCCTCCACCTAGATCCAGACACCCCATTCTACCCTCCGTCTGCCTCGTTGGTCATCTATGTTGTCCCCAGTCATGTCAGGGGACACCAACAATGTCCAATGTCAACAACAACAACAACAACAAAATAATGTCAACAAACAAACACAAGAAGAGCTAGAAAGTCTACTTTGCTACCATCACCATTTTGTTGGGACTGGGCTTGCCACTGAGCATCACTTTGGGCCTGGTGGGTCACTGCCATGTGGAGAGGAGAAATGCAGGGCCAGGGCACTTGCCCTACACAAGCCAGCCAGAGCCGGGAGGGATGGGGAAGCTCAGAGGGGACAGGACCTTAGAGTTCTCAAAATTCAGGACTGGTCCTATCACTCTTCTGCTCAAAATCTTCCAGAGGTTTCTACCACTTAGAGTCCATCCTGGAGTCCACTGTGGCCTGGTCCCTGGTAACTCCCTGACCTCAGCTTTAACCGTTCTCTCCCTCATTCACTGTGTTCCAGCCTCTCTGGTCTCTCGGATGTTACTAGAGCTTCCTCCCCGCTACCCGCAACCTCCAGCAAGACTCTGTCTCGGGGACATGGCAGAGACACTTGTCCTTCTCAGGACAAAGACATCAGGGCCAATATATCTTCTGGGCAAGAAGAATTTACATCAAGAAGTACTAGGAGCCAGGTGCCGTGGCACATGCTTGTAATCCCAGGGGCTCAGGAGGCTGAGACAGGAGGATCGCAAATTCAAAGCCAGCCTCAGCCAAAAGCTATGTGCTAATTAACTCATGAGATCCTGTCTCTAAATGAAATACAAAATAGTGCTGGGGATGTGGCTCAGTGGTCAAGTGCCCTTGAGTTTAATCCCCAGTACCAAAAAATAAAAACAAAAGAGGACCTTCATGAGAGCAATGGTCTGTGGCTGATAATTCTCAGACATCTGATAACCTGGGCAGAGTGTCAGGATCAACCCGTACCAAGATTTGCTTCTAGAGACCCACTCACTCCACGTCCAGCACTGATGTAGAATCCTGGGGAACTTGGAGATAAGTCTAAGTGGCAAGGGGTCTTCTCTCAACTTGCTGGACTCTTAAGACTTAAACATGGGAAAGTTTAAGAGAAAAATAAAATATATATGACATGTTCTGGAACAGATAATGAGTGGCGTGGATGATCAGGAAGAGATGTCAGTTGTGCCTGGGGGATTAGGAAAGGTAATGGGAGATCGATAACTGGAAATGATCCATTAAATATGGAGAGGATTTGCAGAGGAAAAGAGAGATCTAGAAGGTTCTCCTGAGATGAGGTCTTACTTGAGTTTTCCCCATTTCACAGATGGGAAGAGGATACCACATAGCTAGGCACGCTCAGAACTGTGTTTAAAATGACCTAGAATTTCAAGGATTTGACCAATCTGTTTTGTGTCATGGATATGGTCCTCTCCTGACTCCCAGGGAGAACCTCTCACAGGGGAGCCACACGCGTTTTCTGCTCTAACAGGACACTTATAGTTGAGAAATGCATATGCATCCCTTCTTTAGCTCTGAGCCAAAGCAATAACAGAATATGAGTGACTTGCTTGCTTCCTGGGATGGAGAAGAGATGGTGGAATGGTCCATCCTAAGAGATGACCTGCTGTGGCCAAGACAAGTCTAGGCATCAGCTCTGCCAACAGAAGGCAAGCAGACTCTTCCCTTCTTTCTATGGGTCATGATTATTTGAGTAATGACTGAGAGTTCTGAGAGCACGCTTCCCAAGCTGGGAGCTGTAGGGACGACCCACCTCTTTCTTCCCTTGCCTTTTGAAGCACCAGTGGATAAGGGGCTGCAGGCGATCCTTTACGTTGGGAATGTTAATGCAAGCAGGCTAATATCATGGTAAGTTGAAACCTCTCAGGGGTCTCTCTATGTATGATATTCAGCCCTGCTCTTATCAATGAGCACATCTATATCGAGCTGTTTTAAGGAAGGAAGGGATGGAGTTAATCATAAGTTTCCATTTGATCAGGTTCTGTAATGAGGTTTTGGTTATGGACTTTGTATTTCTATGCATGTTAATAGACAAATACACAGGCAATAAATATTGTTATAAATATGATGAGATGGACAGATAGATACAGATAGATAGATAGATAGATGGTAATAGATACAGATATAGATAGACGGAAGATGAATGACGCCTAGCCATATTTATGCATTCCACAGCCCAACTTCATTTAATAGAAGCGTCTGTGCTTTCAGAGCATTTAAACATGCAGACACAAGCCACTGCAGTGGATGCCGGAAGGACATTGTGTCCCACCTGAATGCAGATAAGTCTGGAGTCCAAAGAAGCCCCAGTCATCTGTGTCCACAGAGGACAGCCAGCTTTGTATCCTCGGGTGCAGAACTTTGGGCCAAAGATCTGAGTGTGTTGGGCTTCTCAGAGGTCACTGCAGCTGGAGGCCAAAATCTCATTAAACAGTTCTTACCAACTGTCTTAAAAGGCAGGACTCGTGGCCTCCAGCCCTGGGGGATGCTGTGATTCTGCACATTTATTGACAGAAGCCAGGTATCTCTGCTGACACCTACCCTGGCTTCCTCAGATCTCCTAGCCAGCCTCCCCCAGCCCGAAGACACAAGGCTCAACTTCAAGGCTCCTAAAACTGTAAGGGATGATGCCAACCTGGGGCTTCCTCAAAGCTGGCTGGCTGTGTGGCTCTCCTGCTCCCGTCCCCAGTAAAGATCATGAAGAAGAGGGGAATGAGAAGGGCAGAAAGGGCAAATTCCTGAGCCCGTTGAAGAATTTAGCCAGTGGCTAGCAAAGAGAGGAAAATGCTTTAGAGGAAGGGGAATTTATTCACGGACACCTGTCAGAAGCTGTCATTCCCTGGCTGAACTATAGTCTGAATTTTACTATGATATAAATCAGTTCCTCCTGGACTTAATAACTCTTCTTTATAGGTTTCTTCCCACTCATAAATAAAACTCATTCCATATGTATATACTGCAAAAGGCCTGCTTGACTTGCAGCACTGTTCATCGGGAGAGGTAGGTGCCAGCCCACATTTTGTAATGGCCATGGGGCTTTCCAATGGTTCCACCTTCAGGGAGAGACCTCCCTTCCCTGGGACAACGGGTATGTCCTCTCAAAGAGCCAGGTGACTTCCAGGATGGGTCCAAGTGTGGCAGAGCTGGAGGTCACCTTGCTGGAAAGCGGGGTGGGGGTGTCAGGCAGGGCTGCAATGTGCCTGACCAGTTCTCCTGGCAGATTTGTGAAGTTGCAGATTCTGAAGAGATGGGCCAGCTAACCTCTGCCAGATCCCAGGGATGGTCTGGAACGTTCCACTGATTGGGGAGGCCCTTATCCACTCCATTCCTCAAGCTCTCCATGGAGCAGTGAACTTCAGCACCCTGACTCACAACAACCCCATCCTGGTTGGATTTTTGGACACCAGCTCCATTCTCTTCTAGTGTGGTGAGAGAGCAAACTTAATTTTTAAAGTTATGCGCTACAGTATTCTCGGGGTTTTGTACATTCTCAGAAAGAGATAAATATTCAAATTCTAATTTTAAAAACATAGTTGGAAAATGACGATAGAAACCATCTTGTCCAATATCCACCCAAGGAAGTAAACACCCCCACATCCACCCCAGCAGATGGGCACTCGGCCTTCCTATTTCTCTTAGAAGGAGAATTATAAAAGGATTTAGCTTTTATTTCATTTTAAACACAACTCTTAAACTTTAAAGTAAATCACAAATAACTTTGTTCAGATAACATTCTGAAATTTTATTGTCATTAAGATCTGCAAGCACTCCATGAGAATTCATAATTTTAGGAGGAAATACATCAATACAGTATTTAATGATATGGATTATCTGCTTTTGAAACATACCAGGTGCTGTAATTACAAAACTCAAACTAGTAAAAAAAAAAAACATTGAAGACAAATCTGGTAACCTCCTGAGATAAGAGCTGTGAAAATCAAAATCTGTGTTCACAAAACCAAAACTAAAACCAAAACCAAAAAAAAAAAAAAAAAAAAAAAAACCACCAGAAAATAACGTGTTGGCAAGGATGTGGAGAAATTGGAACCCTCGTACATTGAATCTAAATAGATTCAGCTTCTGGGGGAAAATCTGGCAGTCCCTCAAGTTGTTAAACATAGAATTTCCATATGCTTCAACGATCCCACACCTAGGATCCACCCAAAAGGGTTGACAACAGGGACTCAGACAAATACATCTACACACACCTTCACAGCGGTGATGCTTGCAATCAAGAAAAGGTGGAAATAGCCCAAATGTCCATCAGCAGAGAGATGGGTAAACAAGAGAGGGTATGTGAGTACCCTGAAATGTTTTCATTCCAGAAATGAAGGGAGAAGTGCAGAACCGAGACATGTTACGATGTGGATGGAGGGAAAACATCATGAGAAGTGAAAGAAGCCAGACACAACAGCTCATGTATTATATAATCCCATTTATAGGAAATGTCGAGAACAGGTAAATCCATAAGGTCAGAAAGCAAAGCAATGGTTCCCAGGGGCTGGAGCAATGGGAGAATGAGAAGTGATCGCTTGATGTGTACAGAGCCTCTTTTGGAATAATAAAAGTATTCGTGAGCTAAAGTAGAGGTGGGGGTGAGCAGCCCTGGGAAAGTCCAGAATGAAATGTATAATCTTATGTTTTGTGAACCTCTCCTTAATACAAAGAATGTAAAAACAAGCACACACACAAAAATGATCTATGAAGCCAGATATGGGGGCGCATGTCTGTAATCCCAGGGACTCAGAGGCTGAGGCAAGAGGATTGAGAGTTCAAAACAAGCTGCAGCAACATAGTGAGGCCCTAAGCAACTTAGTGTGATCACATCTCAAAATAATAAACAAACAAACAAAAGAAAAGAAAGATCTGGGGATGTGGCTCAGAGGTTAGGCATCTCTGGGTTTCAATCCCTGGTACCACTCCCCACCCCCGCCCCACCCCCCCACCCCCCAAAAAAAATCTAAGATCAAGTTTCATCTCTGAGACAAATCTTCCATACATTTTCAAGCAAGTTTCTTCATGTTTGTGGGCCCAAGCTTTTTTTTTATTGACATACAACCCTGGTAGCACTGGTCTGCCTAGTAGCCCATCTCAACACAGTGCTAGATCTGCAATAATCAGAAGGTTGATACCCAAAAAAACTAGAAAACACTTTAGCATTTCTGGGTTAATACAATCAGTTGAAATTGCTTCTAAGAATTCTCTCTCGCGCTTTCTAAAAAAATTCGTTTTCAAAAGAAAAATATCCTCCTTTCCCTCCCCTACACACAAGATCGCCATCAGACACCAAACCAGGGCCAGAGTTATAAACGGCCCTGCACTTGTGGTTGTGAATAAAGTTTTCCTGAAACACAGTCACACCCATTTACTGCTGTAGTCCCTGAGACTGCTGGCATGCTATCAGGACAGAGCCGAGTCCTTCCAACTGTGGTCCCCAAACCCCTAAACTTACCATCTTGCCACTTACATAAAAAAGTCATTGGCCCCTAGTATAAAATAATGTAATAAGAAACTACCATTAAATTACAAACTCATGGAAAAGACAATAAAATAACATAAAAAGCAAGATGAAACCCTAAAGGAAAGAAATAAATTGTCTGACCATTCACAAACAGTAAATAACTTTGGAATCAAGAACATAACAGACATCTCTGTAAATCAAACAACTGGCATTAGCAAAGGAGCCCACATGGTCATCCGTGAACGTAGGTGACCAAAAATTAAATAAAATTTAATAATAGAGAGACGGAGAGATTAAATTGGCAAATATGACTTAAAAATAATACCTGGCCTCTTAATGTGTGTTAATCTCACTCTCTCTCTTTTAAACTTAAAGGATTCTTTTGGGAAAAGCTGTCCCCTGGGGTGATGACACAAGTATTTGGAGTTCAGAGATCCTTGCAGTTTAATACCAGCTTCTTTTTAAAATCGAGAAAAATTAAATTTAAAGTGGGACTCTGTGTGATCCTGTTTTCCTAGAATACAGCCCGACTGTCCCTTCTGTCTATAGACGTGCTCAGAAGCTTCTAGAATGATGTGAAGCTATTTGCAGATAGCATGACCTGGGTGACTTTCTACTGTCTGCTTTCTGTCTTCCTGCAAGGCTCCAGGCAAATATGCTAAGATGTTATCTTTTGGGTGGTACCATGAGAATAATGGCCACCTTCTTCGATTGTATATTTTTAGATGTCTCTTATACAAAACTTTAAATAATATTTTTATTGATTTGGTGATGGTGTTTTTGTAAATTGCCCACGGTACCTAGAACAAGGAAGGCACATAATCCATGTTCATTAAAAACTGTATTGATTTCTGTTTTCTCAAATGTCCAAGGGACTGTTCACTCTTCTCAATGACAATAAGAGTTTGAAATATTGTTGACACAGTTAGCTGTAATATATTTCCTACCTTATTAATTGCAATAGAAAAACAACCACATCCCTTTGTAATAACAACAAAAGAAAAAGCAATTTAAATAGTTGTAAGATGCCCCAAAGATTTGCCGTGTTGTGACAAACTACAATATCCAAGGCATCGCCACCCATTTTCTCCCCATTTCTCCCGCAGAGTGGCTGGCCACAAACACACTTCCCCAGATTCTCAAAAACTCAATCATATGCAGCCCACGCAGTTCTGGCTGTTCCATTTCTTTCTCCAACTTTTCTCGAGCTATTTATTTCTCTTAGTTGCAGTTTTCTAATGATCACATCTTGAACTTTCTAGGACTCATCATTCTTTCTACCAACGACCTAGATCAACACAACAGGAAAGCCCTGTAACACAGAAGGAAGAAAAAATCAGGAGACATGCAGGCATAAGGACTGAGGGTAGTTGTTCCTGCAGCTCCGAATTTAGTTACGACTGTGCTCCCTGCAAGGAGACAGCAACTTATCAAAATCATTCAGAAACAGATACAGATGATATATAATTAAGCATTCACATGAGTGTGCTATTTGTCTATTGAACAGAGTGATCAATTGGAATGGGCTGGGATAATTGGAGAATCTGGGTCTCGTGCTTGATCCCAAAGGAAGCTAAGACTTCAATAAGGGGGGAAAAAGGTGACTTCTGATGAGAAAAGTGCTTCAGCAAAGTTCAAGGCAGACAGGGGCATATCAGGCTGTTGTCCCAGGGATGGAAACCACCTGACCAGTGGGGAGTAGAAAAGGCGTGTTGAATGGAGTAGAGCAAGAGAAAAGATCATGACCTGGGGTACAAAACCCTAGTGCCACCATGACCTTAAGAAGTCAGTATTCACAAATATCTACTAATCGCTAGGGTCCATCCCCATTCACTGATGGGGGGGCTTATATTAGGGGATCACCTTTTCCCCTTCTCTTCTTGTTTAGAACCTCTGCCCATGTTTTTTGGCTGCTGAATGAATCCCTCACCTCCACAAAGATAAGGAGGTACTACACTGGAAGGGGTAGCACAGGTATTTCTTTTTTAAATTTTTTTCTTTTCAGTTATGCATGACGGAAAATGAATTTTGACATATTATACATAGATGGAGTATAATGTCCCATTCTTATGGTTGTAGGTGATGTGGGGTTCCACTGGTCGTGTGTTCACATATGAACACAGGACAGTTATGTCCAATTCATTCCACTGTCTTTCCTATTCCATTGTTTTTCCTATTTGCTTCCCTTCATTCCCCTGTGTCTAATACAAAGTACTTCTATTCTTCCCTCCCCATCCCTTTATTGTGACTTAGCATCCACATATCAGAGAGAACATTATGCCTTTGGATTTGGGGGATTGGCTTATTTCACTTAGCAAGATAGACTCCAGTTCCATCCATTTACTGGCAAATTTCATCATCATTTCATTCTTCTTTATGGCTGAGTAATACACCATTGTGTGTATGTACCACATTTTCTTTATCCTCTCATTTGTTAAGGGTATGTAGGTTGGTTCCATAGCTTGGCTATTGTGAATGGAGCTGCTATAAACATCGATGTGGCCACATCACTATAGTATGAAATTTTAAGTCCTTTGGATGGATATATGTTTAGGAGTGGGATAACTGGGTTAAATGGTAGTTATTTAAAGTTTTCTGAGGAATCTCCATACAGAGTGGTTGCACCAGTTTGCAGTCCCACCACCAATGGATGAGTGCCCCTTTCCCCCACATTCTCACCAACACCTATTGTTACTTGTATTCTTGATCATTGCCATTCTGACTGGAGTGAGATGAGATCTCAGTGTAGTTTTAATTGGCATTTCTCTAATTAGCGCAGTAAGGAATCACAGGAATGAAAAGAACACGCCACATAGAAAATTGGAAAGAAAAGAGAGGGAAGAAAGTAGCTCCTGTCAGCTCCTGAACCTCCTCCCCGATGGAGCCTCCCATGGCTGACAGAGACTCCAGCATCCCCAAAGACTGCCTTGTGGAGAAACAGCCGTCCACATGGTCTGCCGCTCTCCTGGGCTCCAGGCTGGTCTGCCCACTGCCTTGAACATCTAAGAGACCTTCTCTTGAACGTCTCGGGAGTGAACCATTGAACTTGGTGTGGCCAACACAGAGCCCCTTTCTCCCACCTCTGCGCCTGCTCTTTCTGCTGTTTTCTCACTACATGCCTCTGGGCATCCAAGTTGGCCCTCAAGCCTCACAACCCAGTGGCTGCCAGGTGACAGCAATTCCTCTTCCAGAGCATCTCCTGCTCCCAGTTCAACCCTTTCCCCGCCATCGCCTTGCCCACGTCTTGCTATGTCTATAGCAGGTGTCTTCATACCCTTCTCCCCGTCTCGGCCTTCTCTCCTACCCCTTCACCACGTCCTTGATGTGGTGGCCAGGACTGGCTTTCTTGTGCCACAGGTCTGATCACATCACGTCTCTGTTTTAAGAACCCAGGTGGTTCCCCTCTGCATCAGAAGGCCCAGATTCCCGAGTCTGATCTTTCACATCCTCTGAATTCTAACTCTATCCATGTTTTTGGCCTCATCTCTCTCTCTTTCCCCTCATTTTCCCTGTTTAACCACTAACGTATCATTCCATGTATCTCTCTCTCTCTCCCCATATATAGTTGTGGATGAACTTTTATTTTTATTTATGTAGTTTTATGTGGTGCTGAGAATTGAACTCGGTGCCTCACACAGGCTAGACAAGCACTCTACCCTGAGCCACAGCTTACCAAGGATGTCCCTTTAGCCACAGTATGTGCCCTGTCACTCTTGTTTCTCTCTTCCTACTAAGATATTTCATTTCCCTCCAGGCTCAGTTCAAACATCTCACCATTCTTCTTAAAATGCTGCATCCCTCAGCTGGAATAGACTCGAAGACAAGGCACTTTGGTGAGGGAATGAATGATTCACCAATAATGAGAAAAGAGATTAATAAAAGATGGAATTCTCGCCATCTTGGTGGAATTCTCCTGCATCCCATGCCATTTTCTCTTGCCCAGCCTGAGCTCCCCCAGAGCCTGTCTGTTCGATCGATCCGCAGCATCCACCGCAGTATGAACGATGCTCCACTTCAATGTAAGATTTGGTTTTCTTGTGGGCCCTTTAGCACAGGGCACGTAAAGACCAGCGATAGGTTGGGCTTCAGCACTGTGTTCTGAGTCTTCAGTCTGACATTCCTGTATGGAGAAACACTAGCAAGTTCAAAAGCAAATCAAACCTGAATGCAATATTCAGAAGGCTCTCTAAGACTCTGCGCTGAGACCAAAATGTTAAATGCACATGGAAACCCTCTTTGCTCTCCACAGTGGGCATGTGCCAGGGGACAGGCTCCAGAATGGCGTGACCTTTGTGGATTCTCATTTTCTGAGCCCTCTCACCAAACCTGGCCTCCAGGCTTGGAGGACTCAAGGGTGTCTGATCTTTGACCCTGCCCCAAATCCTCAAGTTTATAAGGATCATTCCTTCATAAGTGCATAAACAATAAAGTGACAATGGTGTCATTACTGCCTTTCTCTGAAAGAACCCTTTACCCTGGATGGATGAGGAACCAACTACCCCCAGGGAAATGAATACCATAAAAAAGTTTGGATTTGTGCTTGGGGAGAATATGAGCAGAAAGTGGAGGAGTCCTGCATAAGGTACCTTGGGACAAACTATGTGGGTGGCCAGAAGGCCAATAGAATGAAAGGGCAGGGAGGGAAGGACCAAAGAGATGGTTGCAGAAACCTACAGTGTGTCACGTTTGTAAAATGGTTTCACAGCTTCTAAAGTCATTTCAGACGATTTATCTCTGTGGATCCCCACAAGGTCACTTTGGAGGAGGAACGGCGGTTCTAGTTTTCTTCACTTCACAGATGGGGAAACTGAGGCTTGGTGAGGTCTGGAGATTTATCCAGGGTCCAATAGCTTAGTCAGGACCTAATCTAGGATTTCAAGCCAGTCTGCTGACCCCGGGTTGCAGTGATCCTAGGACCACACGGCACAACCTCTGAAGTTGACTTTTTAAATATTGAGTCCCCTTATACATCTAACCTGTATCCTGTAAATATAGTAAACAGCAGCTTTTAAAGCTGGTCACCAAGTGTGGGGACCCAAGGACCTGGGAGCCCACTTTCTGGTTCACTCTCTGGCTTCTCACCTGCCAAGTTCTCAAACATGCTCAAAATGTGATTAGTTTTACTAATCCTTTTGCTAAATTGTGTCATGGTATCCATATGCCAGTGAGCACCCCATGCCCAAATCAGCCCCGGGAGATTATTCAAATGGCTGCAGAGAGCTCCCGCCTGCTCCTCCTGCAGCCATGTTGAACTATTCAAAATGATAATCGGGCATGTGGCAGTAACTCAGACGGGACAGCTCTATCATTCACTAGAGGGCTGGGCACAGCCTCCAGGGTCCTTATGTCTTTTGCTAGAGCCAGCGCCTCTCCCAGCGCTCTCTCTCATCCTCCGCACAATTTATTTCTCCAGAGCGCCCTTCATACACACCAGCACCGCTCACTTCACCCAGAGCGTCAATCACCAGATGCCAAGAGAAGGGGACGTGTCCTTGGGGGAGATTTAAAGAGAGACCTGAATCAAGGTTGGGGGTTGTGAGAGTAGCACGGGATGGTGGAGAAGATTGGGTTGGACTGGTCAGGACCCTGGTAGGCACAGGCAAAGGAAGGAGGGCAGGGTTGGGCATGGGAAAGAGAAAACAGAGAGCTGGCTATCATGGTCCCTCTCCACTGCACCAAGCAGTGACCTGCTCTTGGCCTTGAATTTCTAGAAACTTTAACTCAAGTCCTGCTGCTCAGGAGTAGGGACAGCTTCAGGCCACTTCCAGGATTCCAAGTGCATAGAATTCTGAGATGGCTCCTAAGAAGAATAATCAAAACTGACCAATGTTGGTAATGAAGGGACTCAATTAAAAATATCCCCTTCCCCCACTTAAAATCAGAACTGAGAGAGAGAGGCCCTGAAGTCTGACAGATAAGAAGACACAGAACAATGCGATTATCACCAGTGAAAGTGAGGCAGCGACTACAACTCAAATAGGTGGGGTCAGCCCACTTTATTTCCCTCCACCCTCGATGGGATTATCCACCAGCCCCAGGCAGCTCTGGGTATGGAGCTTGCTCCTGTAAACACATGGAACAGAGACACAGAGAATAGCTGCTTCCTGCAGGTAGGCTGGGTTGAGAGAGGTGAGATGGGGGAACAGATCTGAGATAGGGATTTAGGATAAGGAGAGAAAAATAGACTACCTTCAGGGAGACATCTTTAAGCCACTGAAATGCAGAATCAAGCCACTGAGATACTGAAAACACAGTGGCAAACCTTAGCCCATGCCCTTGGCCCACGCCCTTGACCCATGTCCTTAACCCATGCTCTTGTAAAATAAGGGAAATGCACAAGCTGGGAAAACCTAGGCAAAATTATACAGCTCCACCCTGGATCCACCTTCAGTCCAGCTCCTGACACAGCCCTTATATAAATATTGGACCCCAGCCCAAGTCGGGGCTGCTTCTCACTCTCGAGACAGCCTGCCTTCTCCCTTGAATGTGCATCTACCTTCCTAAATAGACCTGTCTGGCTTGCACTGAAATTTTTTTCTGCCATATATGCCACAAATCCTGCTGGTCTGAGTTGAGTTCCCCCTCTCTTCTGGAATTCTTCTTATTAAATTTTTTTTATACTTTTATTTTGCTTTGTATTGTTTTAATTGGTTACACATGACAGTACAATGATCTGGGATTCTTCAAACCCTTCTCTGAGGACATCTCTCCTCCCATAACAGAGCCACACAGGCTCTCCTCCTCTCACTCTGGTCAATCAGAACTCACCGCTCAGAGAAGTCCCAGTGACTTGGAGGGCTCCCTATTAGGATCTGCAAACATCTTCTTCTCCATAACCTAACCGATGCATAGTCCTGTATAGACTATAAAACACTGCAGTAGCTTAGAAGAAGCATCTTTTTATAAGTCTTCTAAATGACTCAAATCACGATTTTCATACCCACTTTCCCAATAAAAAAAAGTGAGAATTCAAATGATGGTTGACATGACCCCCATTGGGCAGTAAGTACATGGCAGAGTTGGAAGCCCAACCAGATTGCTGACAAGTTTTTAAAATCAGGTTTCACAAAGTATAACCAGCAGGTCAGGTAAGAAGCTCTTGAAGCCAGAGTTGCCAGTGACCACAGGAGAGGTGGACAGGCAGATGGGCTGAGCTAGTGCAGGTAACTGGAGCTCAAGGTATTCTTGCATTGAACATGTCTTACTGAATACCTGCAGCCTGCTGAATGCTGTGCTGTGACCTGGGGATAGAGCCAGAAAAGACAGGCATGACCTCTGCTTTGTGGAGCTGGGACAGAATAGGGAAGTGCCTAGGATTGAAGGAGACCCTTCACCAGGAGGAACAGTTGTCCACCTGAACAAGGTACAGCCGTCCAGCCGGGGACTCACAGGAATTCAGGGAAGTACATGTTTGTTGATTTATTCCACATGGTCATTTATGACTCAGGATCGGCCCAAATTGAAATTAGCCTTGAGGGTGGAGTTTGAGAAGCCAGAACTGGCCTTGAGATCCTAGGCAATCAAATTAAGAAGTTGGACCCTGGGTGCCCATTAAACTGTGGTAACTAATACAGCTTGACTCAGAAGATAAAGCGCCTGGCTCTGTTATTTCACAATTTCTTTGTCTTTGACCTGTTTTGTTTTTCTCTGGATCTCCTAATGAAGTTATTTCTCAAAAAAAAAAATTATTATTATTTTTAAATAGGATAAATCAAACTAAAAGGGACTTGTTTTGCCAAGGCTAAAACCATTTGAGAGAAGGGCTGGAGCCCAACCCTGGAAATGCTAAGAAGGACCAATGAGCTGGTAAATAAGGTGAGGAAACCCATAAAGCACAGGAAAACAGGTTCTTTCCTGGACAGCCCAGGCCTCCCCATTTTCAAGTTGCTGAAAGGGAGCCCTGAGCAGCGCTGGGAACCATCCTTAGGTGTCTGGACTGGAGTCCGCAGGGCTCTCTGACCACACCGTCCACTCCCATGACATTTCCGGGTTCTGCTGTCTATTGGGGGAGCTCGTCCTCCAGTCACGGTGTCCTCCGAGGGTGTAGCTCCTCCCAGAGCAGGAGGGAGCCTGTCTAAGTGGGAGGCTGCTCTTCCTGCAGAGCCGCAGAGCTCTTTTGTTACGCACGATTTCCTGCATCTCTCCTATGAAACAGGCCAGATGGAGAGAGCAGGGCAAGGCTCGGCTCCCGCTCAAGGCAGAGGATGATTTGGAACGAGTTATTTGATGTCTTTTCAAAAAAAGTAATATTCACTAATTTTTTCCAAAAAAATCCTCAAGTTTCCTAGAATACATCCCCAATTTGCCAATAATCATCTGAGCCTCTCCTTGGCCTGATTTCTCACATCTGGTTGTTTGGGTTCCCTTCACACACAGAGGTTGAATTGATGAACAATAAGTGCGGTGCCTTTTTTTTTTAGCATCAGTTTATAATATAAATAACATGTTGAGTAAATCAAGAAATATGTATGTCCCTAAATAGACCATCTCTGTAGATGCCCATTATAATAATAAGCCTTTTACCTCTGCTATCAATTACCCAAAAACCATCTATTATTTTATTTTTATTTTGTTTGACAGCTTCCTGTCCATATAACTGACATACAATACACTGCACATATATATTTAAGTGAACAACGTGTTAAATTTGTGTGCGTTCTATCTGTGAGACTGTCACCACAGTCATAAATATCATCCTCCCTGGTTTCCATGTGCCATTTCTCCTCTTTCTTGCTCTTCCTCACTCTCCTGACCCATGCTCCCCAAGGGGCACCTGATTTGTTTTCCATTATTATAGATTAGATGGTACATTCTATAATTTTGTGTAAATGAAATCATATATCAGACCCCCTTTCTTGGTCTGTGTTTTCATTCAGCAATTATTTTCCAGATTCATTCATGCTAATGTGTATATCAGTGACTTATTTCTTCTCGTAGCTGAGTGGTATTACATTAAGTGGGCAGACCACAGTAGGATTGTTCTTTCACCTGCTGATGGTCATTGAGATAGTTGCCAGCAGGAGGCTATTACAAATAGAGCTCCGGCCAACATTTCTGCATGAGTCTTTGTAAGGATATATGCTATTCTCTCCCATGGGTAAATATCTCGGAATCGAATGGCTGGATCAATGGTTTTCCAAAGAGATTTTACATTTTATATTCTTCATAGCAATTTATGAGAGTTTCGTGTGGTAACATGGTTTCATTCTATGGAATTATGAGTAGTATCTCATTGTGGTTTTAACTTGTAATTAAGTACGTAGGTGTGGAGGGGCTTCTCACTGTGTTCTTAATTTGCACATGATTTCTGATTAATATCATTTGGTGGTTTTTCAATTGCCATTTTCCTATCTATACATCTTTTTGGTAAAATGCCTGTTCAAAACTCTAGCCCAATTTTCAAATTTATTTGTTTTTTTATTATTAAGTTGGGAGAGTACATTGTATATTCTGGATACAAGTCCTGCATGAAGTGTATACTTGGCAAATTTTTCTCACAGTTTGTGGATTGCTTTATTATTGTTTTAACAGATTCTTTCAAATAACAGAAGTTTTACATTTTGATGAAGTCCATTTTATCAATTTATTTTATGGATCAGTCTTTTTTAGCATGCCTAAGAAATCTTTGCTTAATCCTAAATCTCAAAGACTTCCCCTAGGTTTTCTTTCTAGAAGTTTAATACTTCAGGGGTTCACCCTTAAGTTGATATGTCACTTTTTACTTAAAATTTTAATATACTGAGAGATATGGATCAAAGTTTATTTTCTTGTATGTGGATGCTCAACTACTCCAGCACCATTTGCTGACAAGGCTATCCTTTTATTACAGAATTGCATTTGTATCTTTGTAAAAGCAAATTAAGCAGCCCTTATTTGTGTGTGTCTATTTCTAGACACTTTATTCTGTCAAGTTGAAAATGCACACATTTTTACACCAATACCGCACTGTTAATTACTACAGTTTTATAGTAAGTCTTGAAGTCAGGTAGTATTAGCCCTTTAACTTTTTCAAAATGCTTTATGTCAATCATTTGGCTGTTCTATTTCCATATAAATTTCAGACTTGGCTTGGCAATTTCTACCTAGAAACTTACTGAGGTTATTATTGGAATTTCACTGCACCTAAAGATCACTTTAGGGGGAGGCAACATCTAAACCATATTGATCTGCAGATTTATGAACATGGTATGCTTCTCCATTTATTTAGGACTTATTCAATTTCTCTCAGTAAGTTTTTGTAGTTTTCAGTGTGTGAGAAATTATTTGTCAGATTCATTCTTAAGTATTTTATATCTCTGATGATATTATAAATGGCATTATTAAAATTTCAATTTGTGATTGTTATTTGCTGATAGAAATACTATTGATATTTATATACAGATCTTCTATTTTACAATTTGCTAAACTCACTAGTTCTAATAGTATTTTATATATTTTTAATATCTCAGTATATTTTCTACATGCATATTCATTTTGACATAATTTCTTATGTCATCTATATATTAAGACAGTTTTACATTTCTTTCCTTCCTTTCAACTCTTTTTCTTCCTTTATTGTGTGGGCTAGAATCTCCAGTACAATGGTGAACAGAAGCAGTGAGAGCAGCATTCCTGATGTTAGGGGAAAGCATTAAGTATGATGTTATCTGTAGAATTTTATAGTTGGACATTATCAGGTTGAAAATTTCCCTTTTATTCCAAGTTTGCTGAAAGATTTTATGATATATTGAAGTTGAATTGTGCTAAATGTTTTTCCTATCAAAGATCTCAAAATGAGTGATAAAGAGTGAACTTGGGCTGTGTACAGTATCACATGCCTGTAATCCCAGTGGCTGGGGAGGCTGAGGCAGGAGGAATACGAGTTCAAAGCCAGCCTCAGCAAAAGCGAGGTGCTAAGCAACTAGTGAGACCCTGTTTCTAAATAAAATACAAAATAGGGCTGGGGATGTGGCTCTGTGGTCGAGTGCCCTGACTTCAATCCCTAATACCGGGGGGAAAAAAAAAAAGAGTAAACTTGAAAACATTCAGGGTAAAGAGATTTTAGGTACAGGGAAATAAAGTTAAACAGCAGATTTCACATCAGAAACAATGTAAGCAAGAAGAGAGTGGAACAACATCTTTTAAACACTGAAAGAATAAAACTGCCAACCTGGCATTCTATACCAAGCACAAATATCACAGGAAAAAAAAGATACTTATACCAAGGAGTGAAGACTATTGGAAATGATAATTATGTGGGTAAGTAGCATATATAAATTCTTTCTTTTTATTTAAATCACATTAAAATATAATTGACTGTTTAAAAGAAAAATATTAACAATGTAGAATGGTGTGTTTTGACATAGGTGGAAGGAAAATATCTGGCAACCATTGAACAAATGAGAAAAATGGGCAGATACTACAGTATAAAAGTTGTTATGTGTGCAATGGTATGAGGTTGCTTGAAGCTAAGGACAAATTCAACATATATCCTATCGCTCCCGAATCAACCATTAAAATAACACAACAAAGAGCTCTAGCTAATAGCTCAACAAAAGAGATAAAATGGAATGGAAAATCACCTGGGACAAAAGAAG